AAAACTTTGTTTTTTGCAGTTTAATTTCAACCCATATTACTTCAAAATCTTCTTCTAAGTCCTTTCTTCTGGTGTATTTCACGTTACTTGATAAGTACAGTGCGACTCCTCCTCCCCTGCGGTTTCCTTTCCGATCAAGGCGATTTACGGAAAATCCAGGTAGTTCGATTTCCGAATCCGCAATAGAGCTTTCCAGCCATGTCTCCGTTATGCCAATAAATAAAGGATTGATGTTCTGAAAAGTTAATCTCAGTTCGTCAATATGAGCCATTAGACTTCTACAGTTAAAATGCGCTAACGAGAGTTCGTGTTTAGGCAAACGACGGTTGCAGTTTGAAGACTTCGCATCTGGTTCTTGCACGACGTTGAGACTAACAGTTTTTTGGCGTTGTTGTTCAGGACCGGGATTAACTAGATTTACGCCGCTTCTTGTTAACATCACTATCGCTGGATTAAACGTGGCAGATGACTTTGTATTATATTTGATTCTTCGTTTAAGAAACCGTTTAAGTTTGTATGCTTGAACAAAACAAACACAACTGTTCCGTGCGCGAGTTGCTACGAATTTCAAATTGGAGCCGTAAAAGTCAGACCATTTCGTGTGATTAAATTGACATCTCTCATTCGATAAAATGGAAAAGTTTAGTCCACAAAACACGAGGATCACAAGGACGATACAAGGAGAAATCTTGATGATATTCATGTTCGCATGTTCACAAGCTTTCGTAGATAAAATCATTGGATGATATCTCTCAATCAAGCTTCCCCCAAAACGCGAAAAATCCAATTATTCAAATTAAATAGGTTTTAATTGAAAATTCTAATTCCAATTTGAAAGTTTTTCCGTTGACGCAACTGATGTCGCGTGCGCGTGCTTACGTAAGCTTAACGGTTCCAACCGAAAATTCTGAAATCTATTTTCAAATCGTAGCAACAATGAAATATATCCGCAAAAATCCAGTCAGTTCTGTACACGATTCACAAAACTTTATTAATTCCAGGTAGATCTGTCTTTGATTAAGAATCCAACAGAAATTCAGATTCAATTTCACAGGATTAGCAGTAAAAATTTGCAATAAATGCGGAGCGATTGAGCTCGCGCTCCTCGCGCAACCGCGCTTCTACGTCAACTAATACGTATAAAATATAGTATAAAATAATACTAGCACTCTTACAAATTGCAGCCTATTTTGTGAAATAAACATTCACTCAGTATTAAACGGAAAAATTTATCCAACCTATTGAACCAAGTTAAATTAAAACGCTATAAATAAATTCACCTATATAAACTTTGTCGAGCAAGGTTCACAAGTCACAACGAAGCGTGTTCGCATATCGCTATGTCTTGTTAGCACATTTTCTTCGCCATTATTGCTCAGAATTTCATGACATTTCGTGTGCATGTAGCCAAAAGTTGCCTAGTTGTTTTGCTGTAGATAAAAGTTATGGATGGATGTAAAAAGTTTTTAAAATCCACCATGTAATCTTCGAAAAAAAATCGCTCTTGTATTTTAGCAGTCTTCCTGTTGTAGTTCAACCCCCCCTGAAACCAAATTTTTACTATAAATACGTCACAAACTGTTTATTTTTTCAACCAATTGAATCGCATAATTTTTTTGAAAATATGACGAATGAAATAACCTCTAGCATCCCGCATAGGTACAACAAAATTTTCATCAGACCATGAAACGTTTGTGCAAATTTTTCATCTTTCTTGCAGTCTTGAAAACAAAATTTTTATGCGGGTATGTAGAAAAAATATAAGAGTTCAATGTGGTATAATTTTTTATCATGTTTGTTTTACGTGTACGAGGTATTTTGCGTTTTGCCGAAGTTGTATATTCGTCAGTTGAGATATAGTTGCCAACCTTAGGTATAATCTATATATATATATCAACACTGCTTTTCAAATTGAGTGCTTGCGGCGCGCGACAAATGACAAATGAATGGGGCGAGCTTAATGCAAATTGACATTTGGAAGCATTATTGGTGCATTCTACACGCCGTTTGGGGCTGATTTAATTTAAATAAACGTAGCGAAATTTTCATGAAATGCGTGCATGCGCGCAGATTCCACGCTGGACGATTCAAACGAACACGCGTCAGCAAACATTGCGAGTAGTAAAACGCAACAACTTAACCGTATTAATATGTTGCCTGATGATTGCTTGTTGCATGAAACTTAAAGTAGCAACTTATTCAATTGTGAAATTGTATTAAAATATTAAATTATTATATGCTCTACAAATGTCTTGTATTGAGCACTCTTTATTCTTAAAAACGAGAAATTACTTTATGAAATTATATATATATATATATATATATATATATATATATATATATATATATATATATATATATATATATATATATATATATATATATAATTTAAACACGAGTAGGAGTGTTTTATCAGATATATAACGCGAGGCGCAGCCGAGCGTTATATATCTGATAAAACACGACAACGAGTGTTTTGAATAGCTTAAAATACGACTACTAAAGAATACTAATTAGGATGAACCATAGTATAATCATGCTAATTAAGATGAACAATAATTATATAATGCCACATGTGTTTTATCAGATATAAAGTCATCCCACGTGGCATATTATGGCTGATATGATTTGCCACAAGGTTTATGAATTATTAATTAGTATTTTATATATATATATATATATATATATATATATATATATATATATATATATATATATATATATATATATATATATATATATATATATATATATATATATGCCCCGAAACGTATTATGTATTTGTTTGAAGTTTAATAAATTTTGTTTATATACATATACATACATACATAATATATGTACGTAAGAACATGTAATATATGCACATAATTATACATTTTTTTACTACTCTACATTCCTCCCGAAGTCAGTTTATTGTCCTAATCTTAGAGATGAGTTCAATATTTCAAATATAATTCTGATTTTTCTGTTTCTCGTTCTCTCAGTTTCAGCGATTTCGTGGATTCCAAACTCGGCAGTTTCCACGTAGGGTATCTTTTGTAAATTGGTTTTCATTGGTAGTTGAAACATAGCATCAAATGGTGCTGTATTGGTGTTAGAATGAGGGGTAGCACGATAATTTCGAAGAAATGTATACAATTCTCGCTTCCAAGGCTTTCCTTAAGTTGGAGCTGTTTTTACTGCCTTTTCACCATTAGCTTTTGGCCTGTACGGAGTAGTCTTTTTATATGAGAATCCAAGCTGGTTCGCAAACTTTTGAAAGTCACCACTATTAAAAGGAGGACCATTGTCTGCTTTAATTTGTCTAGGTATTCCGAACGCAGAAAATATTTTGTCAAGAAGAGTACTCTGAAGTTAGTCTGGACAAATTATCAATTGTGTTTACTTAAATAACATATACATATACATAACAATATTATATACATTTACATAACAATATATAATATGTGCCCATAATTAAACAACTTGGTTACTACACTACACTGCCCACCCAGAAATTTGTATGAAAGAAACTTGGTCATAGTATTAGAACACCCCCAATGTCAATAACATCGCAAAATCCCTGACTAGCACTTTCTGTGTTCATGCGGTGTCTGATAATTACATTCTACACCAAGAAGATCTACTTTTATTAACCCTACATTCTATGTTACTTGCCATTATATGTTTTAATATAACAATATTCAGGTTGTGCACTATACTTGATTGTCCTCTCCTTTATCCTAACCCCAACATCGCAATTTTCCCAGTGTATGATATCCTTTCTCTCTTTTGCCACCTGTATCTCCAAATCTCAGCTCAGAAACAGGAAGCGTATTCTTGTCTGTCAGGTACCCACTATCTTCGCGCCATGTGCTGTCATTGACGTCACAATTACATTTTCTCCCACCTGGGCAGGTGTTGGTCATTCCGCAAGCACATTTTACGCTGTTAACTGCCGCTCCACCCCAGTAATTCATCTGTGTGCCTTGACGCGATACCCACCAACCATAATAAGTTGATTGACCGCGAAGAGCGCTCTGATAACATTCATATTTTATAAACTGCTCACAATTCTTGGACTGATTCAGAATTGTAACAATGTTTTGCATGGAAATACCATATTTGATATTTCTTTTGTAAGAACCGGGATTGTCATATCCGCTCACACGTGTTCGTGATTCACTGTCGTGTCCAATCTCTGTCACAGGAACGCCATTCTTTGAACTCATGTTACAGTATACTTGAACCAATGGAGATGAATTTAGTCCTTGAGGGTTGATATAATACATTCCACTGCGAGTTGAAGGATCTTTTATTAACAAAGCTGAACAAGAAACTGGTGTGATGTTGGCAATACCTGGAAAAAATAAGGGAGGAATCATTATTAATTAAATTAGTTAAAATATTTTGCAACTGTTAATAACTTTACCTTGGCTCGAGATCGTCTTCCATTCCGAATAATCTTTCATTGCCCACTCCCATATTTACTGTTTATCCTTGTAGCCCCCGACCCTACAGCATTAGCATACTCTACATGTGGGAGTAGCATATGTATATGTCATTGTATGCTTAATAATGCTTAGTTTTATTTGTCTTTCCCGAAACACATCTCATTGATATCGTGTCTGAAAATGCAACATGTCTTATTAATGTCATTTCTGTTTGATAATGAAGTTCAATTTACAAGCAGGTGAATTTCTACTTTATTTGAACATTTACACTTCAATCTTTTTCTATCCCACCCCTTCTTGTCAGATATTTTTGCTAGCCCACCTTTTATTAGTGTGAAGTTTCACTTCACACTATTGTGATGGCTGGCGAATTCACATGAATCAGTCAGTCAGTCAGTCAATCATAGAGTAAACTTTCCGGGGGGTGTATACGATTTATGTTTGTAGTGATTTATTGTACTTAGTCAGTACTTTGAAGGTTATTTAGGCAATTTCAGTTAACTTATTTACATATTCTGTTATCCTTTTGCCAAGTTCACAAAAATTTCGAGGAATCGCTTTCGTTATTGTAATTTTTTGTAAATTTTAGAACATTCGCTTCTCATGTTGTGTAAAGGATCTTTACCCCGGAACACCCGATTTTTTCTTTAGTAGCGCAAATGCGCATGCGCTATCAAGCCGTAGATCACGATGGCGTGACGATATGCTAGGAAGGGGTGACAATGTTGTTTTCAGATGTATAAAGATTTTAGTCGTGAATATTGAGTAAATCTTTGAAAATCTACGCAATATATAAATTGATCTTATGCATTACGGGCGTTTAATTAAGTGCCGATAATATTTAGACGGTATATTCATTATATAGAGCTCGAGCTAGGAAGGAGCTAGATCGCCTAGACAGTGCAGTCAAGTGTATAAACATTTCAGACGTAAATAATGAGTCGAAAATCTTGATTCTAGTCATTCAATTGAGTGCCGATATTATTTTCACGGCATACTCATTATACAGAGGTACAGTAAGTATATAAACATTTCAGACATGAATATTGAGAAAATCTTTGAGATTCTACGCAATAATAGTAATACAATATATAAATTGATGTTATGCATTACCGTCGATATTATTAGACCGTGTATTCATCATACATTGTCATTGACTGTATAAGGTGCTACATCACAGAATAGATGGCTATACTCAGTACAAAGAGCGAAAAATTGCATCAGATCTGTATAAAGCATAAACAACTATTAAACAGAAGCGGGTAAACGTTTGTACGGCGTTTACGAAGAAAAAAACTTGCGAGACTAAAGAAATCAGTTGAGTCAGAGCTCCTTATATAAATAAGAAAGACGAGGAGATATAGCCAATGTGTTATCGCCAACGTGTTATCGCTAATCGCTTAATTGGCTCGCCAACAAGCTTTATGCAATAGAAGAAAAAAGCAAGGAGGTACATGTAGCCAACACGGACCTTGTCTTTGTTTTAATACTGTCTAGCACAACGCCGTTGTCAACGGTGCAAACTCGTGCTCAATGCAACGATAACTCTACCAGATCTTACGAGAATCAATCTGTAGGATTCTGTACACAGAACTGTATCAAAGCTTGTCAAAAGTGCTTTATTTAATAAACACTGCTATAACAGTGAAACTATTGAAATCTAAAGTGATACAGTATTTATATTACCCTGGTTGCCAGAGGTTCTGTATCTTTCGCCTTATTCCCGCTCGTATATTTATTTTACGCGAGGCGAAGAGAACCTCTGGTGGCACGCGATACAAATCTCACTTCCATGCTGACGTTGCCGTTGAGAACTTGCAAAACCGGTTTTATATTTTGTGACGTTTTTAAACTTCCGGGTTTGTCATACTACCAAAATAGCTCTCTTCAGACTGTTTGGCAGCCTTGTGTAAAGTATTAAAAATAAGCAGCCCAAACATGTAGGTTATTCATTAGAAACATGTAGATTATTCTCGCAACGCACAAAGCCACCTTATATACTGATTGTTAAATTTGTGGAATGCCGTTTGTAATAGCGAACGTTAGGAACGTCTAAAGTCAAAAGTGAAAGAATATAAATATATAAATATTTATATATATGTGTGCAACGGAGCCAGTATGTACGTTGTCCTTAACAGACAACGGGAAAATATTGGCAAAATAAATCATATTAATAACTATTAAAGTCAAAGAATTACCAAAATTTAAAACCTTGAACGATATAAAGCAAGTGACTAACACTATATATTTTACAAATATTAATACTGTAACTGAACATGTCATGCCGTCAACTCAAGTCATGCCGCGATGGCAGGTCTTCTCCAGCGCAGAAAATCGTTTTATAGCGAAACAAACTAAGTTAATCTCAAATATATAAACCCACACCAAGTAAAGCATTTTAATACGTTCGTATTTATATTTCTGCATTTTGTTTACATCATGTTCTCTGAGATTTATAAACAGGTTTTTTTGTCTAGCCAATCGCATCACTTCATGTGACTGCTAATTATAACTAACCAATCATGTGCTTGGTACAAATTTTGTACCAAAGGAAGAGAGATTTGTATCGCGTGCCACCAGAGGTTCTCTTCGTCTCGCGTAAAATAAATATACGAGCGGGAATAAGGCGAAAGATACAGAACCTCTGGCAACCAGGGTATATTTATATTCAACACATGCGAAAAGCTAAAAATAGACACAACGTCACACTGGGAAAAGTCAAAGGTCAATGAGACTTGTTATTGTGAAACATGTCACAATTAAGTTAAAATGCGGAAGCGGATGGAGCAGATCCACGGAACGGATATGCGGATAAAATACGGAACGGATGAGGATAAAATGCGTCTTTTAATGATGTAACGACGTAGTGCTTATTATTCATAACATATCTTATACAGCTATTTCAATTATAGTTTATTAGATAAATTTAGCATAGCAGTAGCCTCGTGGGGATGCTTTCAGCGACAGCTGCAAATGAAATGCAAATGAAAATTTAGAATATGCAAAATTTGGTTGTTGGTGACACAATAAATAGATGAATTGCATCAGTTTCACAAGGCACGTTTCTGATGTGTTAGGCTTGTTTCAAACGTCACGCTACTCGTGTGCCGAGCGTATTAAAAGCAATAAATAGTGAGATGAAATGTCTTTGGTAACTGTTTATTTCGTAGTGTAAGCCATCAAACTTTTCTAGGTTGTCGGCGACCCTAGTTCTTGCAGTGTCTTTTTAAATTTGAAACTTTACACTATCCTTGGATCCCTAGTTTAGTCCAAAATGTTCGCTACCCCTCGAAATACGTTTCTCCCCTCCCAATTAATGAGTTTTGTCGCATAAAAAAACCCCAGTAAAGCCGTGCATAATGTTTAAAAAACTGCACTGTGATTTGTTATACCATGTTAATTTAGCCAATACGAGAATAACAGGACCTATTAACGACTAGAATACATGCATGCAGTAACCTCTCGTATACAGGTAAGATTACGCGTGTTTTTGTCTCGCATGCGAAGAGTGTTCAATTAGTGGAAAGACTGGTTCTGGCCTTCAAGTTTGGCTTCAAATTTCCGGTTGGAGGTAGCGTTTCAGTTGTATTCATTGCAGTGCATTAAACATAGGTATACGTCAGCGATTATTGATCGATGAACATTAAACTTCGACAAAGCTTTCCTTTTCCCAGATGTAAAATCACCCATAAAAGGTGGTTTCCCTTTTTCCTTTAGAATCGATTCCTGGAATTTCCAGGCTCATACAAAAGGAAACGATGCATTGTTTTGACGTTTTTAATTGAAGTTTTGGTTGGGATTAGCTCACAGTTGGGACCAGAAATGGAAATACCGTAATAAAAGATGCAAATTTGCAAATAACACTGTAAAATAATAGTGTTTTGGATATTGATTTGAACCGAAGACTCAACCTCATTCCCACGGCTTTCGTGTGAGGACGAGGCGAGAGACGAGGAAGCCCTGGTCTGCGCCGGTCAATTTTGCATTCTGATTGGCTAACACCATATTGTCTAAAAATAGCAGAACTTGACAGTTGCAATAACAATTCAATATATGTTTTTTATGATTATTGTGTATACGAGTGATTTTGCAATAATCTTTTAAAGTAAGAAGCTTTCAGTTTTCCCGACTGGCATGATTTACTTTCGCCTCGATCGGCCGGTTACAAAACTCGACAGCTAGCCGTATCGACATGAACTGTGATATTTCCTGACAAAACAAGAAACGTATACTAGGTAGGTAGGTAGGTAAAACTTTATTTAACAACGCTAACCCCTAAAGCGAAAGCTCATTTCCAAGGGGGGCGTAGATTTAAATAGTTAAAATATACAATTAATACAAATTATGGTCATACATTACATTACAGTTAACAACAATTACAATACATATACAAATGCAACTAGTATATAATTATTTACATATTAAATTAATGTTAGTACTATATAATATTCTTAATTAATTAATTAATTAATTAATTAAGAATAATTAATTAGTAATTAATAATAAATAATTAATTAATTAATTAATTAATTGGCCAGGTGTCGTATACATGAATTAAACGAAGCAAGAGAATGTTCGTTTCTTGCTTCATCTGAAAGGCTGTTCCACAATTTTGCTCCTCTATAACTAAGACTTTTTTGGGCAAAAAAGAGTTTGGTGGAAAAGCCTCGCATATTATAGTAATAAGAGGAAGACGTCCTCTGAAAAATGTTGGTTAGTCGTCTTGGCGCCAGTTTGTGAGTTATTTTATGCATAAGACTTGCTACGAAATGTGTTCTGCGTTCACTTAAGGGTTTCCATTTCAGTTCGTCTAGAGCAAGTTCAGATTGACCGTGTTCGTTTTTACGCCAGTAATAACTCTAGCTGCCCTATTTTGTAGTTTCTCGAGTCGATCAGAAAGTGTGGAGCCAATGGTGTCCAAAACTTCGCAACAATAATCTAGGAGTGGAAGTATAAGTGTATTATAAGCACATATTAATGTATTATGATCCACACAAGATTTTAGCTTTTTAATCGCC